CTCCAGTCCATCACAGGGACACCTGAACGGGTCTCCAGTCCATCACACGTGTAGTGAACAATCTGGTGTCACGACTAAGCCTAAGGTCAAAATCCTTGACCTTAAGAGCCTTGTGGGACAGAAACTGTCATTTCATTGATTTGAATCCAGAAATACAGGTTCACCCATCCTGAGACTTTCTTTCTTGAAGATTCAAGTGAAAAGAACACTCTCTTTTTTATTATCATTACTATTTTACAAATGTTGATAATCAAAGTGTCTTAGTTCAAACCATTTTAGATGTTGCAGTGAACTAATCAATTTTATTAACTGTGTAATGATTTTTTCTCATGCAAAGTTAGAATTCATGTTGAGGTCTGTTACAGATTTTTATGCATTTTCTGATTTCTGCCTTTGAATGAGCAAGTGTAAGTTGGTCCAAGGTTGGAGTCAAACGCAAACAAGTTGTTGGAACGAACTGTCATGTTTTTAGAATCCTCTCAGACGTAAATATAGAGGTTTTGGCACCTGTTTCTGAAACGCGCCAAAACAAAACTCTCTCTGTCTGTGAGAACATTTCTGATCTTTCCATAACAATTCTTGCTGCATTCTAACCTTTTACGTCACAAAACACACCCCGTCTGGTCGGTTCTGGCCAATGGGAATACTCCCAGATGAACCGAAAAACAGCTCTTTAAAATGTCGGTACTTCCTGGTCTACTGAGTGCTGGAACGGTTCTGGACAGTTCTGTTCAGTTCTGATGGAGTGCTGTTGGAGTTCTGCTGGATACACAGTTCAACCAGTTCTGTGAGAGAAGCCCAGTTCTGGGGGCCGGGAAGATCCTGACATGACAACAGAGCTCTTCCGAGGTTCATGGGATTATAACATTTTCCACTGAGGTGAGCTGTGAGGGACAGTCTCGCCGCTACTCCGGAGGAGTAACAGCATCCTACTGAGACGCTGAAGGGTGCGTTAAACGGAATCTCGCCTGAGACATCTCCAGGTAAAAGAGTCGATTTCACCACCTAAAGTGTACTGTAAGGAAAAGCTGAAGAAAGCCCAGAGAGTGCCGTTCTGTCAACACTCCCTCAAACCCCATTTTACTCTTCTTTTAACTTCTTCCCCATCTTTAAACTTTTCTCTCAAGTAGAAATTCTTCCAGATATTTTAGAAATGTCTGTGTAAAGTGCTCATCCACATCCGTGTGGGTAAAAGATCATAATTGTACAGTTTTCATAAATGTCTGTGGTGAAGCAACGGAAAAATCATGGCCGTATGATTTTTCCTGATTGATTGCTTATGTTGTTATTTTCATAATTTGCCAAATTAATGTAAATGTTTGATGTTAAACTTTGATTCTGTAAATAAATGACCGCATTCATTTTGATGGGTCAAATATAAATGACGTCTCACGTTTGCATTTCATTAAA